AGAAGTCCAACAAGCACACACAGCAGGACAGAGGGAGTCTTAACTCGTTAAGGGTGAGTGGGTGAATGAGTGAGGCGGTGATAGGGGCGACAGACTGAGTGAGAAGATGAGTAGAGCACGGGTTGGCTAACGTGCGGTGGAGTTAAAGAAGTTCAGCACCCACACACAGCAGGACAGAGGGAGTCTTAACTCCCCAGGGTGAGTGGGTGAATGAGTGCGGCGGTGATAGGGGCGACAGACTGAGAAGATGAGTAGAGCACAGGTTGGCTAACGTGCGGTGGAGCTAAAGAAGTTCAGCGTGCGTGGGTGCGTGGCCGCGAATTCCCCAACTTTGCGACTGGCGAATGCCGAGTTTGGCTTCTTTGTGTGCGTGGGAGAGGAGAAAACCCCCCGGGAGAAACCCCGCCCCCCCCCCCCCCCGCCGGTAACATTCACGACAGTTAAGTACAAAAACCTTTCTCGGCATTCTCTCGAACAGAGACCGGGGCGTTTTGATCTCTTGAGAAAACCATCCGGCAAACAACGCGGCAAACGCTCCCCGCCGATGGAGACATTCGACGCTGTTCCATTGCAGCGCGCGCTTATTGCAGGCTGGAGAATGTGTTGCCGTGGGTCCAATGCTTGCAAGTGTTCGGGGATTTCCATCCGCCCGTCACCCAAGTTTGCCGTCGTTAAATTTTAATTTTGCCGCAGAGGAGAACCCCCCCCGCTCCCTCCCCCCGCCGCCCCCCTCTAAACGAGCACCCCTGCTAAGGGCTGATTCGCCGAACCGACGATTCAGCCGCCCCCCCCCCTCCACCGTTAATGACGCGGCTGTCGTAGGTGCAAAGGGATGCTTCAAAAAAATGTTAACGCTTCGGAGATATTTATATATTTTTTTCTGCGACAATACCGCGAGAAACGTGCCGCCTCTGGGGCTCTGCAGACCACCTGGGGAAGACTCGGGGCACTACGTGGGGAGAGAGACATTTTTGTATCGTGTTACAGTGTTATTATTATTGTTATTAAAAACGACAGTCCCGTGTAAGCGTTTAACAACATTTGTGAAGCGCCCCATATGAATGCACCGATTGACCGTGTTTCCTTTTTCACACGGCGTGCTGACAGTGTTGCTGGTGTCTGTGCGCGTTGACATCCGCGAAATTAGGAAGCCTCGCTCAACAGGCCAACTCGCTCATCGGCCGATTTCGCGGAAACCAATCAGCGTCGTCGTTAAAGAGGCGGGGCGTGTTGGGCGGGGCGTGTTGGGCGGGGCGTGTTGGGCGGGGCGTGTTGGGCGGGGCGTGTTGGGTGGCCCTGCTGTGCTCCGGTCGTGAAATCGCTCGCGGGAAAAAAAAACCAAAAAACGCCTCCCGTGACGCCCAAACTCCGTCTGCATAGTGCCATCTTTACGTTCGCACCGCGAGCTCCGTCCCTTCTCGGCGCCCGCGAAAGCAAGGGCGGTCGCGGTAGAGAAAACGAGAAATTTAGAAAACTCCGCGTCGCGCGTGGAAATTACTTCGCAGCCGCGCGTCTGCAACCGACCGCGCCGCAGCCGTGTGCAAGGGACGCCGGAACCCTGGAAGAGATCCCCCCACCCACCCCCACCCGCGCGGCGAGCGTGCGTACGGTCGCCGGGAGCGGCCGGGCCTGGCGGCTTCCTCAGCCGCGGTTATCGGTGGTTGGGGGGGGGGGGTGCCCCGCGGCATTCCCGTCCGGCGTTCGGTGACGTTGATGCCGGGAGAGAGGTCCGATTTCTCGCCGCGAAAGACTGCGGGAAGTTTCGATTATTGTTTTTCTGCTGCTGCTGCGCTCAGCGGTAAAGCCTGAGAAATGTTAACGCTCCCGACGGGGGAGGGGGGTTACCGCCACCCCCCCACCCCCCGACCGATCGATGGATCCCGCCCGTTCACGGAATGAAACGTCGTTCAGTTGTCGCTGATGACAGCGATTTGCCGCAGGTCACCGAGGGCGGAGCCAGGGGGAGGAATTCTCCATCCCGTCTCAGGGGACCGTTTGTACGTAGAGTCTCTCAAGCCGAGTCTCAATCGGAGGTTCTGACCCTGAGACCCGGTCTCCATGAGTCTCAATCGGAGGCTCTGACCCTGAGACCCGGTCTCCCCGAGTCTCGATCGGAGGCTCTGACCCTGAGACCCGGTCTCCCCGAGTCTCAATCGGAGACTCTGACCCTGAGACCCGGTCTCCATGAGTCTCAATCGGAGGCTCTGACCCTGAGACCCGGTCTCCCCGAGTCTCAATCGGAGACTCTGACCCTGAAACCCGGTCTCCATGAGTCTCGATCGGAGGCTCTGACCCTGAGACCCGGTCTCCCCGAGTCTCGGAAGAGACTCTGACCCTGAGACCCGGTCTCCCCGAGTCTCGGTGAAGACTCTGACCCTGAGACCCGGTCTCCCCGAGTCTCGGTGAAGACTCTGACCCTGAGACCCGGTCTCCCCGAGTCTCAATCGGAGACTCTGACCCTGAGACCCGGTCTCCATGAGTCTCGATCGGAGGCTCTGACCCTGAGACCCGGTTTCCCCGAGTCTCAATCGGAGGCTCTGACCCTGAGACCCGGTTTCCCCGAGTCTCAATCGGAGGCTCTGACCCTGAGACCCGGTCTTCCCGAGTCTCAATCGTGCCTCTGATGCTGAAATCCGTGACTTGGTTTTTGCGTTGGTGGTGGCGGCGTGATGGTGGCAGTAGGTGGTGGTGGCGGTGGTTGAAGTGGCGGTGGTGGTGGTGGTGGCAGCGGCGGTATCCATTTCGTGAAATTAAGTCGCGGGCCAAATCGCGAGGTGACAGGAACCAGGGGGGTGCGGGAGGGAGTTCCGTCCCTCCGAGGAACCGCCTCGAATTTAACAACTCGTCGGAGGATTAGTTTGTACGAAGGGAAAAAAAAACAACAGATGTTGAATCTACGAGGGGCGGGCCCGCGATTGCCGGGTCCTCAAACCGCAAAACGGTGGCGGTGATTAAGAAGCGAAGCGTCTATTGCAAGCCCACGCTCCCCGAGCCGGAGACATCGAAGGCCGCGTCCCGCACACCTCGGCGGCCAAACCTGCGGTGAGAAAATCGGCGCGGGCGGCCCCCTCGCACCGCCGCACCACCGCAAGCCGCTTGTCGACCGCCTTCTGCCGCCGCCGGCGATTCGGGGTCGTGACGATCAATCGCAGCCGTGCCAACGCGCGACGGTGACGGTGACGACGAAGAAGATGATGACGATGACGACAATGACATTGCCGATAATGATGACGATGGTGACGATGATGACGATGATGACAATGACGATAATGATGACGATGGTGACGATGATGACGATGATGACAATGACGATAATGATGACGATGGTGACGATGATGACGATGATGACAATGACATTGACGATAATGATGACGATGGTGACGATGATGACGATGATATTGACAATGATAATGACGATGGTGATGATGATGACGATGATGACAATGACATTGACGATAATGATGACGATGGTGACAATGATGACGATGATATTGACGACAATGATAATGACGATGGTGACGATGATGACGATGACGACAATGACATTGCCGATAATGATGACGATGGTGACGACGACGACGATGATATTGACGACGACGATAATGACGATGGTGCCGATGATAATGACGACAATGATAACGATGACGACGACGATGATGACGACGACGACGACGACGACGACGATGACAACAACAACGACGATAACGTTGATGACAATGATGATGAAATCCGTCGCTAACAAATCGCTGCCGTGTGAGATCGCCGCTTGCCCTGTTCCACGCAACCGGTGGCACGTGGCTGCGAGCAACCGGTGGCACGTGGCTGCGAGCAACCGGTGGCACGCAACCGAGCCGCGTCAAGACCGCACACTCGGGGTAGAGGTCTGCGGCCCTTCGTCGAGCAACCGGCTGCGTGCAACTGCAGGCTGACGTCCAAGCATCGAGCGATGCACGGTTGCACCGCAACCGAGTTGCGTGCAACCGAGTTGCGTGCAACCGAGTTGCGTGCAACTGACCGCTCGTTGGGATGCGGACCAGTCTACAGCAACGTAACCGGCGTGCGTCCTTCTGCCGCAGCTACAATGCATAACACAAAAGTTAACCGCCACGCGCTTTTTTTTAAATATATATACCGTAGGTCATATTCCTGGTGCTTTCGGTAGAATTCTCACGACGTTTCGACTGCAACACAAGCAATCATCATCAGGTGTGAAGACCACAGCTTGTGTTGCAGTCCAAACGTCGTGAGAATTATTTCATTGTTTCCCTTCTACGTGGTGGTGACTTTACCGAAAGAACCAAGAATATGAATCCCTGCAGTCACGAAAGCTTTAAATCAAAATACCGTAGGTCGTTAATTTATTTTTTTCCTTTGTCTTTAAACGTCGTTAACCATCCTTAAAATGTTCACCTTTAAAGTGTTTCAAGGAGGAAAAAAAAGATCAAAACTTCAGTCGACAAAGGGGGTGCAGTTCGCTAAAAATCTAAATTAACTCCTCAGACGCAATCAACATCGCCAGGATTCTGCGAGCACAGGGAAAGTAATATCGTAATGATTATAGTGACAACGACGACGTTGATGATGATGATAACAATGATGACGATGTTGACGATGAAGACCATGACGATGATGACGACGATATTAATGACGGTGATGATGACGATGATGATGATTACAATGATGATAATGATAACAATGATGATGACAATGATGATGACAATGATGAATAGGCTGATGAATATGCTGATGATGATGACAATGATGACGATGATGATGACGTTAACAATGATGATAATGATGATGATAATGATGACGTTGATGATGACAATGATAACAATGATTACAATGATGATGATGACGTTGATGATGACAATGATAACAATGATGATGACGACGCTGACGATGAACGAGCGTTCGCCAGATGGGCGCTCCACGATACCCCCCCTCCCCCCCTCCTATAGCCCCAACCCTGAGCCACCCCTCCCTTCACCCCCCCCGTCCCCCCCCCCACCTGGGTACATGTGGAAGCTTCCAGCAGTGTTGGGGGATGGGACGGACTAGTCCATACATGAGATATAGAGGGGGGTCTGGGAGATCTCTTTGGCCTGACTTTCTCTCGTACGATTGGTTGGTTGGGGTCTGTGAAACGAAAGCGACAATGCAAAAGAGGTTACAAACCACGCTAAGCGTAGGCCAATCAGCTTCAAAGGCAATGCAACATCATGATTATTATTATTAACGAGGCTTTTGCCCGTCCAAGGACGGGTGTATTGCACTAAAATCTCAAACTTGCAAGTCAAAAAAGCAGAGCGCGACGTGATATGTACATTGCATCAATTCGTGTGCAATTATTAAGGCCGTGGTGACACAGACTTCTTGAATTTAAAGGTTTATAATCCCTTGCTCATCAATCACGACGTCCTTTTTACTTCGATGTCTCAACAGCGTGACGTAGATCACGTGATGACGTGAGGGTTCTGCCGTGGTGGTGAGGGTTGTGAGTTGACGCCGAGGAGGTGGGGAGGAGGCGCCTCGCCCCCCCCTCCCCCATGTGGAGTGACGTCACTCGCTAATTAATATTAATGGCGGGGGAGGCGGGTGTCCATTTGGAGGACGTCACCTTATGATTATTAATGAGGGGCGCTGTTCGATGTGGAGTGACGTCACATGCTCATGATTATTCATGAGGGGGGGGGGTGCTCCATGTTGAGTGACGTCAGCAGCTCATGGTTATTAATGAGGGGGGCTGGTCAACGTGGATCGACATTGTCAAGCACGGGACACACAGACATTAATGGCTCATTATCGTAGTCAATCAGAGCATCTTTTTTTCACCACAAGTACGTGTGGCTAGTGCAGACTAGTTTGAACGTCTTAACGCCTGAACACAACGGCCGTTTTCTTTCCTGAAAGGGGTTCAAACGTTTAATTATATTATTATGGTGCGCGTCTCTCTCTCTGCACGTGCGTCTGCCTATTTGCTGTTCCCGTGTCTGTGCTTATAATCATTGATTCTTACTCTTTGGTTCTATTCGGTAAAGTCACTACCGAATAGAACCAAAGAGTATGGATCCTTGCAGTCACGAAAGCTTCAAATCTAGCATTGATTCTTACCCGATGATGGTCACTTGTGCTGCAAACGAAACTTCGTATTCCGTTACCATTTGAGTTTATTTTCTACGTGACTTCACCGAAAGAACCTAAGCGTATTATTCTTGTTAGAGCTGCTCAACCCGAGCTGTAAGTGTTCCGATACGTGCGGCATTGTCTCTGTGCTGTTCAACTTTCAGTTGTTCTCTGGTCTGACGCTGGTGGTGAGACTAGGCCATGAATGAGGCTGAAGTGTCTCTGGTGTAGGCCAATCAGTCGTTCACCAACATAGATCATTGTTATCAGAGCCATGTGTGCATGATCACCACCATAGATCATTGATATCAGAGCCATGTAAGCATGTTCACCATCATAGATCATTGTTATCAGAGCCATGTGTGCATGATCACCATCATAGATCATTGTTATCAGAGCCACGTTTGCATGATCACCATCATAGATCATTGTTATCAGAGCCACGTTTGCATGATCACCATCATAGATCATTGTTATCAGAGCCACGTTTGCATGATCACCATCATAGATCATTGTTATCAGAGCCATACTTGCATGTTCACCAACATAGATCATTGTTATCAGAGCCATGTTTGCATGATCACCACCATAGATCATTGTTATCAGAGCCATGTTTGCATGATCACCACAAGTGCTGCGTGTGGCTAATGCTATAACTTGATTCCCTTGCAAAAGGTTTCCTCTATTTGGTGTTTGAACATCTTAACAACAACTCCTCTTACTCTTTAGGTCATTTCGGTAAAGTCACGTGGTAGGTATAAAATAAAATAAATCACGACGTTTCGGGCGCACCACACAAGAGTCCATCATCAGGTGTGAAAGCGATGGTCTACTGCTGAGGCAGACTGTTTCAAAAGGTTTGAAATGGGTGTAGCTCAAGGCTCATAAAGAAGTGATGTTAATGTGAGAAATTGGCATGTAAACGAATTTTATTGTTTTAGATTTTTATTATTTCATTTTTCATACTTTGATAACTGGCAAAAGAAGTATCTCGTGATATTGCTGCTCGACCCATTCTGTAAGTGCCCACTGATACTTGCGGCATTGTCTTTGTGCCGTTCCCCTTTTGGCATTTTTTTCACACGCTTTCATTTAACTCACTCCGTCTGTTGTTGTTGTTGTCGTCTCAAATCTTGTAACTCAATTGTAACCCACTTCCCAATGTGGTATCGACTGCAAACCTGGTATACTTGTGTCATACTTATGACAATCCTATATTCTGTCATAAAAAATATATATTTTTTTAAACATTATTTTTACATGTTATCTTTCGGCTTTGGGTCTAATTGTACACGGTCAACTGACGTTGGCTGTGATTGGCCACAGTCCCCTTACGTTGTGGCAAGCTTCGGGGACAATTGCTGGAGTTGTAGAGTTTTGACATTACTACTAGTGCATTTCATTAAAGCGTGTTTAAGAAAAAAAGTTTGTTAAATATTACTTATCTGGTGTGGCACTGATACAAGGCCAAAAACGATGCTTATATCGTCAGAGCCATGTTTAACCACAGGTACGTGTGGTCAATGCAGACTCGATTCGGCTACTGTTTGAAATCGCCAGGAAAAGGGTACAGACACCTATTCTAAATACTATTTCCATACTTTTATAACTCGCAACAACAAAATAGGGGGTCCCGTGATAAAGGATTGTTATTTATGATCGCGATTGAGTTCCTTGGGGCCAGGAGAGACCCCGCCGAGCCTCAAGACTCCTTCCCAGGGGGGATCCTGCCAGGTCATGGTAGCGCAGCACGGGACGATGCTGCTGCTGCTGCTGCTGGTTCATGTAATGCCAACTCATACCTGTCAACCCCTTATCAGTGCCCTACCTTATTACAGACCAGTTCAGACCTTACTGGTCACCCCGTGCCCCTTATAAATCTCAACGTTCATCCTATACGCTACTATACACTACACTATACACTACACTACTACATACCTGTAAGCCCCTTATCAGTGCCCTACCTTATTACAGACCAGTTCAGACCTTACTGGTCACCCCGTGCCCCTTATAAATCTCAACGTTCATCCTATACGCTACTATACACTACACTATACACTACACTACTACATACCTGTAAGCCCCCTTATCAGTGCCTTACAGACCAGTTCAGACCTTACTGGTCACCCCGTGCCCCCTATAAATCGCAACTTTCATCCTACAAAGTCCCATCACAAGGGAGCAAAACAAAAAATAGACATAACATTTTTTGTCCCCAATTTCCCCTGTACAAGAATACGGGAAAACTGTATGGGTTGCAACTATACAAACTGATTAACATCATCATCATCACGGTGGCTAGGAGATGTTAACTACCTCGCCTGGTACACAGGAGGTCGTGGGTTCGATCCCACGGTGGCTATGAGATGTTAACTACCTCGCCTGGTCTACAGGAGGTCGTGGGTTCGATCCCACGGTGGCTATGAGATGTTAACTACCTCGCCTGGTACACAGGAGGTCGTGGGTTCGATCCCACGGTGGCTATGAGATGTTAACTACCTCGCCTGGTCTACAGGAGGTCGTGGGTTCTATCCCTCTCTCATCATCATCACGGTGGCTATGAGATGTTAACTACCTCGCCTGGTCTACAGGAGGTCGTGGGTTCGATCCCGACCCTGACGCCTGCTGCTGTGCCGGGACTTGTCTGCAAGTTGCAGAGAGGGGCGCGCGGCGGGGGGGGGGGGGGGCATTGCGTCGCTCTCGGGGAGGCCCCGGGAGCGAACCAACGGCCCTCGCGCACCTCGAGGTCGTCTCCATGGCCGCCACCTCGGCCAGGGCGGCCAGGCTGAAGAAGCTCGACAAGGACCCCAGGGAGGCGTCCGATGGGGTGCCCGGCACGGACGAGGACCCCGCCGCCGAGGCGTCCGTGGGGGTGCCCGGCACCGAGGCGCTCCCCTCGGAGGCCGCACCGCGGTCCGACGGGCACGCGGCGGACGGCCGCGGCCGGTCTGCGGGGGGGGGGGCGGGGGGGCGGGGGGGCGGGGAGAAAATAAAAACGCAGACCGACGGAGCGCTAGGTGTGAAGCGCACGTGGGGCGAGCGTCCATTACGTTGGGCCCAGTACGTTGAACTTCTCTCGCACCGTACTCCTTGGTTTTAAAATAAAAACGAGATGAAATTAAATAGAATAATTAAATCACGACGCTTCGGAGGCAACACAAGCTTCCGTCTTCAGGTGGAACAGTCACAAGCAGAAGATCTGTGTAGAGTACACAGCTCTGATACGATAGGGTTTATATGTAGGTTAAGGGGGAGGGGGGGAGGAGTCATAAAGGGGGCGTGAGTGGGTGTGAGGGCTGAGTCAAGAGTGGAAGGCTGTGGTGGACTACCAACACATGCGGAGGAAACATCTGAAGTTTGGCATACCACCACTGAGAATTGCTGTACAATTAAAAGGCAGCTAACGTTTGACACGATTTATAACACCTTTACAATGGTTGCTCAATTTGAAGCCATCCTCTCGGTTGAAGTTGTGTCTGTGTTTGTATATCTGGATGGCCTCGTGGACAAATCTCTGATAATAACCGGTAGGTTTGGAGAGTACCTTCGTATCGGAGAAAACAATATCATGATCGCCCACAGCGTTGTAACAGTGATCAGCCACGGCAGAAGAATTCGTTCTGCCGTGTTTCAAATCTGATTTGTGCTCGCGAATTCGGTCAGAGACATGTCGCTTCGTCTCCCCGATATAGCAGTCACCGCAGGTACAACTCAATATGTAAACACCGGGGTACTGTAAGTCAGGAACAACATCCGTACGTATCCAACCGTGCTAATGTGCGTGTGTTGAACTTATTTCACACTGTGTGTAGCCAACCATGCTATGGGTCTCCATCAGTGTCTCTGTGGGTTTCTGTAGGTCTGGGTGTCTGTGGGTCTCTATGGGTGTGTATGGGTCTCTATGAGTGTGTGTGGGTCTCTATGTATGTAGGTATCTTGAACTTTTTTCACACCGTATGTAGCCAACCATGCTATGGGTCACTATGGGTGTCTCTGTGGGTCTGGGTGGGTCTCTATGGGTCTATTTGGATCTCTATGGGTCTCTGTAGGTCTGGGTGTCTGGGAGTCTATACATATGTACGAATGTTGAACTTCTTTCGCACCGTATGTAGCGAACCATGCTGTGGGTCTCTATGGGTGTCTCTGTGGGTCTCTATGGGTCTATGTGGGTCTCTATGGGCGTCTCTGTGTCTCTATGCATGTTGATGTATGGTGAACTTCTTTCGCACCGCACATATTCAACCGTGCTAATGGGGAGGTGCGGTGGGAAGGACAAGGATCGAGGCGCACACAAAGCAGTTCTAACGAAAATAATTTTTAAATCTAAATGACGATTTTAAAGTGGACAGCAGCGATGTACCCGACACCTGGTGAAGTGAAACACTGTTCACAGTTTAGTTGATCCGGTTAAGAAGTGACGAGCGATCACAGTTACTTCAACCGGGAGGCTTTCGCGATCAACATGTTGCTGTACTTTTTAAATCTAAATGACGATTTTAAAGTGGACAACAGCGATGTACCCGACACCTGGTCAAGTGAAACACTGTTCACAGTTTAGTTGATCCGGTTAAGAAGCGACGAGCGATCACAGTTACTTTAACCGGGAGGCTTTCGCGATCAACATGTTGCTGTAATTTTTTAAATCTAAATGACGATTTTAAAGTGGACAAGAGCGATGTACCCGACACCTGGTCAAGTGAAACACTGTTCACAGTTTAGTTGATCCGGTTAAGAAGCGACGAGCGATCACAGTTACTTTAACCAGGAGGCTTTCGCGATCAACATGTTGCTGTACTTTTTAAATCTAAATGACGATTTTAAAGTGGACAGCAGCGATGTACCCGACACCTGGTCAAGTGAAACACTGTTCACAGTTTAGTTGATCCGGTTAAGAAGCGACGAGCGATCACAGTTACTTCAACCGGGAGGCTTTCGCGATCAACATGTTGCTGTAATTTTTTAAATCTAAATGACGATTTTAAAGTGGACAGCAGCGATGTACCCGACACCTGGTGAAGTGAAACACTGTTCACAGTTTAGTTGATCCGGTTAAGAAGCGACGAGCGATCACAGTTACTTTAACCGGGAGGCTTTCGCGATCAACATGTTGCTGTAATTTTTTAAATCTAAATGACGATTTTAAAGTGGACAAGAGCGATGTACCCGACACCTGGTCAAGTGAAACACTGTTCACAGTTTAGTTGATCCGGTTAAGAAGCGACGAGCGATCACAGTTACTTCAACCGGGAGGCTTTCGCGATCAACATGTTGCTGTAATTTTTTAAATCTAAATGACGATTTTAAAGTGGACAGCAGCGATGTACCCGACACCTGGTGAAGTGAAACACTGTTCACAGTTTAGTTGATCCGGTTAAGAAGCGACGAGCGATCACAGTTACTTCAACCGGGAGGCTTTCGCGATCAACATGTTGCTGTAATTTTTTAAATCTAAATGACGATTTTAAAGTGGACAGCAGCGATGTACCCGACACCTGGTGAAGTGAAACACTGTTCACAGTTTAGTTGATCCGGTTAAGAAGTGACGAGCGATCACAGTTACTTCAACCGGGAGGCTTTCGCGATCAACATGTTGCTGTACTTTTTAAATCTAAATGACGATTTTAAAGTGGACAACAGCGATGTACCCGACACCTGGTCAAGTGAAACACTGTTCACAGTTTAGTTGATCCGGTTAAGAAGCGACGAGCGATCACAGTTACTTTAACCGGGAGGCTTTCGCGATCAACATGTTGCTGTAATTTTTTAAATCTAAATGACGATTTTAAAGTGGACAAGAGTGATGTACCCGACACCTGGTCAAGTGAAACACTGTTCACAGTTTAGTTGATCCGGTTAAGAAGCGACGAGCGATCACAGTTACTTTAACCAGGAGGCTTTCGCGATCAACATGTTGCTGTACTTTTTAAATCTAAATGACGATTTTAAAGTGGACAGCAGCGATGTACCCGACACCTGGTCAAGTGAAACACTGTTCACAGTTTAGTTGATCCGGTTAAGAAGCGACGAGCGATCACAGTTACTTCAACCGGGAGGCTTTCGCGATCAACATGTTGCTGTAATTTTTTAAATCTAAATGACGATTTTAAAGTGGACAGCAGCGATGTACCCGACACCTGGTGAAGTGAAACACTGTTCACAGTTTAGTTGATCCGGTTAAGAAGCGACGAGCGATCACAGTTACTTTAACCGGGAGGCTTTCGCGATCAACATGTTGCTGTAATTTTTTAAATCTAAATGACGATTTTAAAGTGGACAAGAGCGATGTACCCGACACCTGGTCAAGTGAAACACTGTTCACAGTTTAGTTGATCCGGTTAAGAAGCGACGAGCGATCACAGTTACTTCAACCGGGAGGCTTTCACGATCAACATGTTGCTGTAATTTTTAAATCTAAATGACGATTTTAAAGTGGACAGCAGCGATGTACCCGACACCTGGTCAAGTGAAACACTGTTCACAGTTTAGTTGATCCGGTTAAGAAGCGACGAGCGATCACAGTTACTTTAACCGGGAGGCTTTCGCGATCAACATGTTGCTGTACTTTTTAAATCTAAATGACGATTTTAAAGTGGACAACAGCGATGTACCCGACACCTGGTCAAGTGAAACACTGTTCACAGTTTAGTTGATCCGGTTAAGAAGCGACGAGCGATCACAGTTACTTTAACCGGGAGGCTTTCGCGATCAACATGTTGCTGTAATTTTTTAAATCTAAATGACGATTTTAAAGTGGACAAGAGCGATGTACCCGACACCTGGTCAAGTGAAACACTGTTCACAGTTTAGTTGATCCGGTTAAGAAGCGATGAGCGATCACAGTTACTTCAACCGGGAGGCTTTCGCGATCAACCATGTTGCTGTACTCGTGAGGAACTGGCCACAATTCTGTTTACGTGACAGCCCTTACTAGTCGGCCGTGTCGGGTGGTGGCGGGTTTTAACGACGACACATTTCATATATTTACGCGAGCTGACCCGAAAAACCTCTATTGTGGATCACAGTTACTCGACTGCTTTGAATTTCCACTCGACGGCGACGACGACGGCGACGACGACGAGCCGCCACCTCGTCGCACGATCGTTTGTGATAGCCAGGGTCGTTCCTTCAACAAATATCGACGCCGCCGCGGCCGCCCCTCCCCCCGCCAAACGCGCGCCGTCACCTGACGTGGGCGAGAGCTGCCCGTCGGCCGAGCGGACCAGGTGGGTGATTCGAGACTTTCGCGCCTTCCTCTTCTGGCTGCCCGTGAGGCTGCCCGCCGTGGGCAGCCTGCCCGGGCCGCGGCGGGCCGGCGGGGCGGCGCCGGCCTTGCGCGAGACCGGGGAGCGCGGGGAGGCCGGCGCCCCGACGCGCGCCTCTCCGTGGGGGGCGCGCGGGCAGGAGGGCCTCCCCGACGGGCCCGGGGTCGAGGGGTCGCCGAAGGAGCAGGAGGAGGAGGAGGAGGAGGTGGTGGGCGGCGGCGGCGGCGGCCCGGACGCGGAGGGCCTGCAAGCGGGGCCGGAGTCCCGCTTGTGCTTGTACTTGCTCACGATCTTGTGGAACGGCTGCTTCTTGGAAGATGGGCCGCCTAGGGATGGTGTTGGGGGTGAGAGAAGGGCGAGTGGGTGAGGGGGTGAGCGGGATAGAGGGCGAGCGGGAGAGAGGGTGAGAGTACGGATCAGGGTGGCGGCGGCGGTGATGCGAGTGGGCCTCACAGCGAGAATCCCTGGGTTCGATTCCCGACCTGGGCGCCTCTCTCTCTCTCTCTGTGTGGAGTTTGTATGTTCTCACCCTGCCCCGCAGCGTGTCAGTGGGTGTGTGTGTGAAAGTGTGCGTGAGAGTGTGTGTGAGAGTGTGTGTGAGAGTGTGTGTGAGTGTGTGTATGAGAGTGTGTGTGTGTGAAAGTGTGCGTGAGAGTGTGTGTGTGAGAGTGTGTGTGAGAGTGTGCGTGAGTGTGTGCGTGAGAGTGTGTGTGAGAGTGTGTGTGAGTGTGTGTGTGAGAGTGTGTGTGTGTGTGAAAGTGTGCGTGAGAGTGTGTGTGTGTGAGAGTGTGTGTGTGAGAGTGTGTGTGTGTGTGAAAGTGTGCGTGAGAGTGTGTGTGAGAGTGTGTGTGAGAGTGTGTGTGAGTGTGTGTGTGAAAGTGTGCGTGAAAGTGTGTGAGAGTGTGTGTGAGTGTGTGTGTGAAAGTGTGCGTGAGAGTGTGTGTGAGAGTGTGCGTGAGAGTGTGCGTGAGTGTGCGTGAGAGTGTGTGTGAGAGTGTGTGTGAGAGTGTGTGTGAGAGTGTGTGAAAGTGTGCGTGAGAGTGTGTATGAGAGTGTGTGAAAGTGTGCGTGAGAGTGTGTGTGAGAGTGTGTGTGAGAGTGTGTGTGTGACCGGCTCCAGTTTAACAGCAGAGGCCTCACTCCGAATCAGTCGAGCGGAAATATCTTTTCATCGGTTGCGTAACGCTGTGTGGAAGCTACCTGGTCTGTCGCTCCGCACTAAGCTTCAGGTCTTCTCGGCCACAGTCATTCCCTCCCTTCTCTACGCTTGCGAAACGTGGACCCCCTTATTGGAACATCTTCGCCGGTTAGAAACATTTAGGCTAGCTTGCCTACGATCCATCCTGGATTTAACCAGACTGGATTGTGTGAGGTGCTCACAAATCTTTGAAAGATCTGGGCAAGGTCCCATCGGTGAGCTCCTCCGGCAGGCAAGGCTGCATTGGCTGGGTCATGTAGCCCGCATGCCCAGCCACCGCATGCCGAAACAGCTTTTGTTCGGCCGGATCGAGGGGGCTAAACGGGTGCGGCACGAGCTAGAGAAGAGATGGAGTGATGTGGTACAGGAGGACGTGGAGCTGAGTGGACTTGCCGATGACTAGTACCAGCGGTGTCAAGATCGGCCTCTGTGGAGGAGGCTCGTGAAGGACGCTACTGGGCAGTTGGAGGTAGTCGCCCTCCAACAACAACAGAGGGCGGAGGAGCGACGCTCACAACAACGAGCGGAGCACCAGGTGGCTAAAGCACAGCAGGTTGGCACAGTAGGGGGCACAGGTGGTGCATGAGCCAGTCATCTCAGTCAGCTTAGTCAGTCGACCCGTGGCACTTGGGTCTGCCCCGTGACCTCCTGCCAGCGGGCGTTCGACACTTCACGTGGCCTCAAGGTGCACATGGCCTGGCACAAGCGTCGTGGTGACGTCACCGCCACTTAGTGGCGAATGGCGGTTGTTGTTGTGAGAGAAGAAGTCACCCCCTGTGAGTGGCTGGCTGAGATGCCATCTATTGAGGAAGTACTGAAGGCGATCCAGAGTCTGAGACCAGGAAAGGCAACCGGCAGAGATGATCTCCCAAGCGAAATGCTGAGGGAGGGTGGCGTTTGTGCACAGACTGCCCTATATGACATCATAACAACAGTCTGGACCACTGGACGGGTTCCGCAGGATTGAAAGGATGCCCTGGTGGTCCCCCTCTTTAAGAAGGAGGACCGCACAGACTGTAACAACTACAGGGGCATCTCACTCCTCAGTGTGCCGGGAAAGGTCCTGGCAAGGATTATTCAACATCGCCTTGCCAGGCACGCTGAGGAGATGCTTGCAGAGCCCCAATGCGGTTTCAGGAAAGGGCGGTCCTGCATAGATGACATTTTCCGTCCAGCTGCTACAACCGAGGTGTAGGGAATTCCAACAAGACCTATATCTCTGCTTCATTGACCTGGTCAAGGCTTATGATACCATCAGTAGGCCTGGGCTCTGGGTTGTTCTTCGTGCTTTTGGAGTCCCTGACCCTGTGCTCACGATCATTAAGGACCCTCATGATGGTGAGCGGGCCCGGGTAAAACTACGTGGCCGGAAGTCCGAGCCTTTCCCTGTACACCTTGGGGTGCGACAGGGATGTCCTCTGGCTCCCACATGATTTAACATCTATTTCGACCACGTAGTTCGTGAAGTCTTCGATGGCTGTACCGGAGGAATTCCCATCTGGTACAGACACAATGGGAGGCTGATCGATGCCCGGGTGTGGTCAAGGGATGGCTCCCTATTGGTCAACCAAGTTATGTATGCCGATGATCTGGTAATTGCTGCTGACTCAGAAGAGGAGTTGGAGGCACTGCTGCTGAACCTGGAGCTTGCCACGAATAGGTTGGGGCCTTACCAAAACTAAGCACCTGCCTGGGTATTTTGTACCATCGGACACTCCACCCCCACAACTCCCAATTGGTGATGGGGAAGTTGTGGAGAGAGTGGAGAGTTTCCCATACCTGGGCAGTGTGCTCATGACCGGCTCCAGTTTGACAGCAGAGCTCTCACTCTGAATCAATCGAGCGGCATTAACTTTTCATTGGTTGCATAACGCTGCGTGGAAGCTACCTGGTCTGTCGCTCCGCACAAAGCATCAGGTCTTCTCGGCCACAGTTATTCCCTCCCTCCTCTACGCTTGCGAAACGTGGAACATCTTTGCCGGTTAAAAACATTTAGGCTGGCCTGCCTACGATCCATCCAGGGTTTAACCAGGCTAGATTGTGTGAGGAGCTCACAAATCCTTGAAAGATCTGGACAAAGTCCCATCGGTAAGCTCCTCAGGCAGGGAAGGCTGCGTTGGCTGGGTCATGTAGGCCGTATCGAGGGGGCTAAACGGGCGCGGCACGGGCTAGAGAAGAGATGGAGTGATGTGGTACAGGAGGATGTGGACTTGCCAATGACTGGTACCAGCGGTGTTAAGATCGGCCTCTGTGGAGGAGGCACGTGAAGGATGCTACTGGGCAGTTGGAAGCAGTCGCCCTCCAACAACAACGGAGGGCGGAGGAGCGACGCTCACAACAACGAGCGGAGCGCCGGGTGGCTTGGCACAGAAGGGGGCACAGGTGGTGCATTAGCAAATCATCTCAGTCAGTCGACCCGTGACACCTGGGTCTGCCCCGTGACCTCCTGCTAGCGGGCATTCGACACTTCACGTGGCCTCAACGTGCACCTAGCCTGGCACAAGCGTCGTGGTGAAGTCACCGCCACTTAGTGGCGAACGGCGGTTGTTGTGAGTGTGTGTGTTTGTGTGTGAGAGAGAGTGTATGTGAGTGTGTGTGAATGTGTGAGAGAATGTGATAGTGTGGGAGAGGGTGTATGGCGGTAGTGTAGCGGTTAGCGCGCTGCGCTATGAATCTAAAGACCCAGGTTCGATTCCCGCTCACGGTCAACACCAGTGACGATTATCTTGGGCCGGTCCTGGGCCTCCCCTAGGTCGACTCAGCCTCAAATGAGTACCAGCTGTTGCATCGGCCAGTCGTCTCAGTCAGTCAACCCACGGCACCAGCTGGGTCTGCCCCGTAACCTCCTGCCAGCAGCGAGGCCTTCCACACTTCAAGTGGCCTCAGAGTGCACCTAGCCTGGCACAAACGCCGCGGTGACCTCACCGCCACCTGGTGGCGAACATCAGCGTTGGGGAGACAAAGGCCGGCCGGGCGTGGTACTGGTCACCCATCCCCGGCCTTCATAGGTGCTGCTACTCGCTAAACAGCACTTGGCCCGACAGCCCGTTCAGGCTACACAGGGGATCTTTATCTCTGTGCGTGACCCGTGGTAGGCGCAGCGGTTAGCCGCTCTGCGCCGTCAACCCGGCGACCCGAGCTCCATTCCCTGCTCACATCCACAGAGAGGCCGGAGTGTACGATGTACGAGTTGGAGACTGCACAGATTGTGTGCACCATGGGGGTCTGATGAGAAGAACGCTCATCACGCGCCGTAATGGTGAAGTATGGGCGGCGGCAGCGACGGGACTGGTGGCGATAGTGGTGGTGATAGTGGTGGCGATAGTGGTGGTGCTGGGGGTGGTGGTGATAGTGGTGGTGCTGGGAGTGGTGGTGCTGGGGGTGGTGGCGATAGTGGTGGTGCTGGTAGTGATAGTGGTGGTGCTGGGGGTGGTAGCGATAGTGGTGGTGCTGGGGGTGGTAGCGATAGTGGTGGTGCTGGGGGTGGTGGCGATAGAGGTGGTGATAGTGGTGGTGGTGATAATGGTGGTGCTGGTAGTGATAGTGGTGGTGCTGGTAGTGATAGTGGTGGTGCTGGGGGTGGTGTCGATAGTGGTGGTGCTGGTAGTGATAGTGGTGGTGCTGGGAGTGGTGGCGATAGTGGTGGTGCTGGTAGTGATAGTGGTGGTGCTGGGGGTGGTAGCGATAGTGGTGGTGCTGGGGGTGGTGGCGATAGTGGTGGTGGTGATAGTGGTGGTGATAGTGGTGGTGGTGATAGTGGTGGTGCTGGAGGTGGTGGCGATAGAGGTGGTGATAGTGGTGGTGGTGATAATGGTGGTGCTGGTAGTGATAGTGGTGGTGCTGGGAGTGGTGGCGATAGGGGTGGTGCTGGCGGCGGTGGTGATAGTGGTGGTGGTGGCGGTGGTGGTGATAGTGGTGGTGATAGTGGTGGTGCTGGCGGTGGTGGTGATAGTGGTGGTGATAGTGGTGGTGGTGGCGGTGGTGGTGATGATGATGATGGCGGCGGTGGTGGAACTTCCTGACCCCATTCCCCCTAGCGGTCATCCTTGAACCGTAGCTCATCCGACCCTGCGAGCCGTCACCTCTGTCTGCGGGCGAGCGAGTGAGCGGTTTCTTGCTGGGAGGCTGCGACGTGGGAAGTCGACTCAGCTTCTCCTCCAACTCCTTCTGCAGCGAGCCCAGTCTGCGCACGCAGACCACAAAGGCGAAGATCCCGCCCCCCCCCATGTGTAGCCTCAACAGACTGTACGGGCAAGTGCTGTTAGCGAGCACACACACGGATACAACCGCTCCCCAACGTCGATCCGACGTTGGGCGTTCACTGGGTGGCCCCGAGCGGCAGTGGCGTCACCGCGGCGCTCGTGCCAGGCTAGGTGCACTCTGAGGCCACGCGAAGTGTCGAAGGCTCACTGCTGGCAGGAGGTCACGGGACAGACCCTGCAGGTGCCATGCGTTTACTGACTGAGCTGATTGGCCGATACACCACCTGTGCCCCCCCCCCACTGTGCCAACTTTCTGCGTTTTTATCCACCCGGCGCTCCGCTCGTTGTTCTGAGCGTCACTCCTCCGCCCTCCGTTGTTGTTGGAGGGCGACTGCCTCCAACTGCCCAGTAGCGTCCTTCACGAGCCTCCCCCACAGAGGCCGATCTTGACACCGCTGGTACCGGTCATCGGCAAGTCCACTCAGCTCCACGTCCTCCTATCCCACATCCTCCTGTACCACATCACTCCATCTCTTCTCTAGCCCGTGCCGCGCCCGTTTAGCCCCCCCGCCCCCCTATCCGGCCAAACAGAAGCTGCTTGGCGCACACGCGGTGGCCGAGCATGCGCAGATACGCATTTAACACGCACACACGCACACACGCATTTAACACGCGCACACACGCATTTAACACGCGCACACACACACGCGCACACACACGCATTTAACAGGCGCACACACACACGCACACACACACACACACGCATTTAACAGGCGCACACAACAACAACAACAACCGCCATTCGCCACTAAGTGGCGGTGACGTCACCACGACGCTTGTGCCAGGCTATGTGCACCCTGAGGCCACGTGAAGTGTAGAACGCCCGCTGGCAGGAGGTCACTGGGCAGACCCAGGTGCCACGGGTCGACTGACTGAGATGACTGGCTGATGCACCACCTGTGCCCCCTACTGTGCCAACCTGCTGTGCTTTAGCCAACCCGGCGCTCCGCTCGCTGTTGTGAGCGTCGCTCCTCCGCCCTCCGTTGTTGTTGGAGGGCGACTGTCTCCAACTGCCCAGTAGCATCCTTCACGAGCCTCCTCCACAGAGGCCGATCTTGACACCGCTGGTACCAGTTATCGGCAAGTCCACTCAGCTCCACGTCCTCCTGTACCACATCACTCCATCTCTTCTCTAGCCCGTGCCGCGCCCGCTTGGCCCCCTCAATCCGGCCAAACAAAAGCTGTTTCGGCATGCGGTGGCTGGGCATGCGGGCTACATGACTCAGCCATCGCAGCCTTGCCTGCCGGAGGAGCTCACCGATGGGACCCTGCCCAGATCTTTCAAGGATTTGTGAGCTCCTCACACAATCCAGTCTGGTTAAACCCAGGATGGATCGTAGGCAGGCCAGCCTAAATGTTTCTAACCGGCGAAGATGTTCCATTAGGGGGGTCCACGTTTCGCAAGCGTAGAGAAGGGAGGGAATGACCGTGGCCGAGAAGACCTGAAGCTTAGTGCGGAGCGACAGACCAGGTAGCTTCCACACAGCGTTACGCAACCGATGAAAAGATATTGCCGCTCGACTGATTCGGAGTGAGACCTCTGCTGTTAAACTGGAGCCAGTCATAAGCACACTGCCCAGGTATGGGAAACTCTCCACTCTCTCCACAACTGCCCCATCACCGATTGGGAGTTGTGGGGGTGGAGTGTCCGATGGTACAAAATACCCAGGCAGGTGCTTAGTTTTGGTGGGGCTGATGGTAAGGCCCCACCTCTTAGTGGCACGCTCCAGTCTCAGCAGCAGCGTCTCCAACTCCTCCTCTGACTGAGCAGCTATTACCAAATCATCAGCATACATAACGTGGTTGAGCAATAGGGAGCCATCCCTTGACCGCACCCGGGCATCGATTAGCCTCCCATTATATCTGTACCATATGGAGATTCCCCCGGTACAGCTATTGAAGGCTTCACGAACTACGTGGTCAAAATAGATGTTAAATAATGTGGGAGCCAGAGGACATCCCTGTCGCACCCCAAGGTGTACAGGGAATGGCTCTGACTCCCGGCCACGTAGTTTTACCCGGGCCCGCTCACCATCATGAAGGTCCTTAATGATCGTGAGCAGAGGGTCAGGTACTCCAAAAGCACGAAGAACGACCCAGAGCCCAGGCCTACTGATGGTATCATAGGCCTTGACCAGGTCAATAAAGCAGAGATGTAGGTCTTGTTGGAATTCCCTACACCTCTGCTGTAGCAGACGGACAGAAAATATGGCATCTGTGCAGGACCGCCCTTTCCTGAAACCGCATTGGGGCTCCGCAAGCCTCTCCTAAGCGTGCCTGGCAAGGCGATGCTGAATAATCCTTGCCAGGACCTTTCCCGGCACACTGAGGAGTGAGATGCCCCTGTAGTTGTTACAGTCTGTGCGGTCCCCCTTCTTAAAAAGGGGGACCACCAGGGCATCCTTCCAATCCTGCGGAACCCGTCCAGTGGTCCAGACTGTTGTTATGATGTCATATAGGGCAGTCTGTGCACAAACGCCACCCTCCCTCAGCATTTCGCTTGGGAGGTCATCTCTGCCCGCTGCCTTTCCTGGTCTCAGACTCCGGATCGCCTTCAATACTTCCTCAGCAGATGGCACCTCAGCCAGCCACTCACAGGGGGTGACTTCATCCAATATTTGAGGCACCGCAGCCTCAGCAGGGTCATCCTCACTTTGTGCCACGATGTTTTCCTGGCTGAGGGATTTTCCCTCCCCCAGGACCTCACAGAAATGCTCAGCAAATCTGCGAACCTGTTCCTGGGGGTCGGAAATTGGATCACCGTTTTTTCCCCTAATGATGGTAATAGGTGTGGCGCTGCAGGTTACTTTTTTGATGGAGTTAAATAGAGATTTGTGATCACGGGCCACTGAGGCAGACTCCATCTCCTCAGCAACCCGCGACCACCACCCATCCTTGCAGCGCCTCACGGCTCTCCGAACCTCCGAGCGAAGGCTGCGGTAAGCCTCCTTATTCTCTGACGTGGGATTCTGTAGCCGATGACAGTGGGCCTGTCGCTTTTTCTCAACCATCTTGAACAACTCCTCTGTCATCCAGGGTGTCTGGGGAGGTCTGGACCGCGTACCCAGAGCAGCCATTGCAGCTGCATGAGTCACAGTCCTAAACCTCGCCCATTTACCCTCGACATCAGGAGGAGTCGGGGACGATGCCAATCCCAGCCGCAAGCGATGATGAAATTCTCGCTTGCAACTTTCATCAGATAACTGAGACCAGGCCACTTTAGGTTGGAATGGGGTCCTGGGTGTACACCCACCACCGGAGTGGAAGAATGGCAGGCGCATCTTACAGATGACTAGTCGATGGTCAGAGGGCAGATCAGCTCCACGGTAGGTCCTGGTGTCAAGGACATGGGCTCGCATTCGCTGGTCCGTCACTATGTAGTCCAGCAGATGTTCTTGCTTGGACCCGGCATGCATCCATGATGTTGTGTGGATGCGCCGATGCCGGAACAGCGTGTTGGTAATTACAAGCCCATGGGCTGCACAAAAATCTAGCAGCCTCCTACCGTTGTTATTGAGCTGATCTGGCCCATGCCCTCCAATCACTCCAGACCAGGTGCCAGTATCATGACCAACTCGGGCATTGAAGTCACCCAACATGATGACTCTATCCCGAGGGGCCACTTTAGCCAGCACCTGTGACAGGAGGTCATAGAAGGCATCTGACTCATCGGCTTTGCCTGCATCCCTCCACGGATGTTCATCTTCGGTGGGGGCATAAGTAACCACGACCACCATTCCTCGCCTCCGGTTGATGGGAAGGCGAGCCCAAAGTAGCCTGGGGCTTACAGCTTCCCACACCTCACCGCCACGCTCCCACGCCCCCTTCATTCTTTTGTTCAAAAGAAGACCCACACCCTGTTGTTTGGCAGTCTGCTGCCCCGAGTAGAGGACTGTCCACCCCTCATGGTGGCAGGAGCCAGAGCCGGTCCACCGGACCTCCTGAATGCCGCATAGATCCAGGCGGTACCGGTCCAGCTCCCGACAGAGGAGTGGCAGCCTCTCCTCTGCAGTGAGCGTTCGAACATTCCACGTGGCCACCCGTAGTGGATTTTCGTTGTTTCTGGAGTAGCCCCGAGGGTAGGTATTCAATCTCCTGGCTCCGCCAATTGGGGTTTGGCCAGGAGACGTCATAGACGCCTGTCCCCCCGGGGCCTCCGGCACAAGCTTAGTTGTTACATATTTCAGTTTAATTCGTAGTTTCGTGGTAATTAATTGAAGGTGGAGGGGTTACCAGCCCCTCGCACCCGTCCAGAGCCCCCGTTTAGCCCCTGTGGTGGACACATATGCCATGAGGGGAGGAGCCAATCAAATTTGGATCTCCCCCCACAGCGCTGTCCACGACAGAGTTGCCCGTCCGGGACCGCGAGGAGGTATGGGGTTGTTTTGCCGCACACACACGCACACACACACACACACACGCGCACGCACGGACGAAGACGCGCGCGGTCACCGTGGCTTGTCGGAGTCTTTGCTGCGCGTGCGTTTGAGACGTCGCGGGGAGACGGGCGAGACGGGCGAGACGGGCGAGACTTGCTCCTCCTCCCGACTCCTGTGGGGCTCCTCCCCAAGGCTCCGCAAGCCCTTCTTGCCTGCAACACAGAGACACGGAGTGAGGCCGCCCCCACCCCCCCCCGCGGAGGGTTAACAAGACTGTTGGGGCAAGCGCTGTTAGCAGCGAGTAGCGGTACACATGAAGGCCGGCCGCTGTGGCACACTGGGGCGGGTGGCCGACAGCGCGCCCGGCCGCCTTTGTCTCCCCAGTGGCGATGTTTACTACGCGCCGCTAACACCAGGTACTCATTCGAGGCTGAGTCGACCCAGGGGAGGGCCCAGGACCGGCTCAAGACAAATCGTCGCCGGTGCTGGCCGTGAGCGGGAATCGAACTCCGGTCGCCCCGGGGGTTTCGTAGCGCGGCGTGGCGCCGACCGCTGCACCACCACCGCTCCCCACTACGCGCACACACGCACGTGCACACATACACGCACACACACACACACGCACACACACGCACACACACACACACGCACACACACACACACGCACACGCACACACACACACACGCGCACACACGCACACACACACACACGCACACACACACACACGCACACACGCACACACACACACACGCACACACACACGCACACACGCACGCACACACGCACACACACACGCACACACGCACACACACACGCACACACACACGCACACACGCACGCACACACGCACACACACACGCACACACACACGCACACACACACGCGCACACACACGCACACACACACGCGCACACACACACACGCACACACACACACGCACACACACACGCACACACACACACACGCACACACACGCACACATACGCACGCGCACACACACGCACACACACACACACACGCACCCACACGCACACACACACACACGCACGCGCACACACACGCACACACACACACACACGCACACACACGCACACACACACACACACGCACACACACACGCACACACACACGCGCACACACACACACACGCACCCACACGCACACACACACACACGCACGCGCACACACACGCACACACACACACACGCACACAACAACAACCGCCATTCGCCACTAAGTGGCGGTGACGTCACCACGACGCTTGTGCCAGGCTATGTGCACCGTGAGGCCACGTGAAGTGTCGAACGCCCGCTGGCAGGAGGTCACTGGGCAGACCCAGGTGCCACGGGTCGACTGACTGAGATGACTGGCTGATGCACCACCTGTGCCCCCTACTGTGCCAACCTGCTGTGCTTTAGCCACCCGGCGTTCCGCTCGTTGTTGTGAGCGTCGCTCCTCCGCCCTCCGTTGTTGTTGGAGGGCGACTGCCTCCAACTGCCCAGTAGCATCCTTCACGAGCCTCCTCCACAGAGGCCGTTCTTGACACCGCTGGTACCGGTCATCGGCAAGTCCACTCAGCTCCACGTCCTCCTGTACCACATCACTCCATCTCTTCTCTAGCCCGTGCCGCGCCCGCTTAGCCCCCTCAATCCGGCCAAACAAAAGCTGTTTCGGCATGCGGTGGCTGGGCATGCGGGCTACATGACCCAGCCATCGCAGCCTTGCCTGCCGGAGGAGCTCACCGATGGGACCCTGCCCAGATCTTTCAAGGATTTGTGAGCTCCTCACACAATCCAGTCTGGTTAAACCCAGGATGGATCGTAGGCAGGCCAGCCTAAATGTTTCTAACCGGCGAAGATGTTCCACCAGGGGGGTCCACGTTTCGCAAGCGTAGAGAAGGGAGGGAATGACCGTGGCCGAGAAGACCTGAAGCTTAGTGCGGAGCGACAGACCAGGTAGCTTCCACACAGCGTTACGCAACCGATGAAAAGATATTGCCGCTCGACTGATTCGGAGTGAGACCTCTGCTGTTAAACTGGAGCCAGTCATAAGCACACTGCCCAGGTATGGGAAACTCTCCACTCTCTCCACAACTGCCCCATCACCGATTGGGAGTTGTGGGGGTGGAGTGTCCGATGGTACAAAATACCCAGGCAGGTGCTTAGTTTTGGTGGGGCTGATGGTAAGGCCCCACCTCTTAGTGGCACGCTCCAGTCTCAGCAGCAGCGTCTCCAACTCCTCCTCTGACTGAGCAGCTATTACCAAATCATCAGCATACATAACGTGGTTGAGCAATAGGGAGCCATCCCTTGACCGCACCCGGGCATCGATTAGCCTCCCATTATATCTGTACCATATGGAGATTCCCCCGGTACAGCTATTGAAGGCTTCACGAACTACGTGGTCAAAATAGATGTTAAATAATGTGGGAGCCAGAGGACATCCCTGTCGCACCCCAAGGTGTACAGGGAATGGCTCTGACTCCCGGCCACGTAGTTTTACCCGGGCCCGCTCACCATCATGAAGGTCCTTAATGATCGTGAGCAGAGGGTCAGGTACTCCAAAAGCACGAAGAACAACCCAGAGCCCAGGCCTACTGATGGTATCATAGGCCTTGACCAGGTCAATAAAGCAGAGATGTAGGTCTTGTTGGAATTCCCTACACCTCTGCTGTAGCAGACGGACAGAAAATATGGCATCTGTGCAGGACCGCCCTTTCCTGAAACCGCATTGGGGCTCCGCAAGCCTCTCCTCAGCGTGCCTGCCAAGGCGATGCTGAATAATCCTTGCCAGGACCTTTCCCGGCACACTGAGGAGTGAGATGCCCCTGTAGTTGTTACAGTCTGTGCGGTCCCCCTTCTTAAAAAGGGGGACCACCAGGGCATCCTTCCAATCCTGCGGACACACGCACACACACACACACGCACACACACACACACACACGCACACACACACGCACACACACGCACACACGCGCACACACACACGCACACACACACGCACACACACACGCACACACACACGCACACACACACGCGCACGCACGCGCACGCACACACACGCACACACACACACGCACACACACGCACACACACACGCACACACACACGCACACACACACGCACACACACACGCACACACACACGCGCACGCACGCACGCGCACGCACACACACGCACACACACGCACACACACACGCACACACACACGCACACACACACGCACACACACACACACACACGCACCCACACGCACCCACACGCACACACACGCACGCGCACACACACGCACACACACACACACGCACGCACACACACACGCACACACACACACACACGCACACACACACGCACACACACGCGCACACACACACACACACACGCACCCACACGCACACACACACACGCACGCACACACACACACACGCACGCGCACACACACGCACACACACACACACGCACACACACACACACGCACACACACACACACACGCACACACACACGCACACACACACGCACACACACACACGCACACACACACGCACACACAGGCACGCAGAGCCAACCCCCCCCACCCCCCACCTCGGTCGAGGTTGGCTCTCAACGTCGTGAGCATCCCCTCCAGCACCAGCGTCTTGTAGAGAGCGCCCTTGCACGTGCGCTTCGACTTCCTGGAGCCGCTCTGCTCGCCGTCGCCGCCGCCGCCCAGCCCCGGTGCATCGTGGGAGGCTCCGGCGGCGGGGCAGCCTCTTTGCAGGGCACGCTGGGCAAAGCCGCCGACGCCGTCCGCTGAGGTAATGTGTTTCGCTTTGGCCTGCCGGAGCAAAGGCGTGGAGAGGGGGGGGTGGGGGGCGGTGAGCGACGGGGCGCCCACGCCAACGCGCGTTCAGCCGGGAAACGCGGGACACGCTGGGCCGACGTTGAGCAACCGCTCTCCCGACGTTGGCGCAACGTTCGCGCGCCATTGTGCCGTCATACTTACAGTCACGTGACCATCGTCAAGGGTTTCCATTTTCACCGCGGCGTTGCCCGCAGCGACCGGGCCCGGCGGCTCCGCTGCGGCCCGCTCTTGCCTAGAATCGTCCATCTTCGTCTCCATTTTCACTTTCCTGGTATTGAAAAAACCTGACGCGCACAAACACACAAACTCCATCGTGATGCCCCCAACAACAACAACAGCAGCAGCAGCAGCAGCAGCCGCCGCCACCCCCAGCACCACCACTATCACCATCACCCCCAGCACCACCACTATCACCATCACCCCCAGCACCACCACTATCACCATCACCCCCAGCACCACCACTATCACCACCACCCCCAGCACCACCACTATCACCACCACTCTCAGCACCACCACTATCACCACCACCCCCAGCACCACCACTATCACCACCACTATCACCACCACTATCACCACCACCCCCAGCACCACCACTATCGCCACCACTCTCAGCACCACCACTATCACCACCACCCCCAGCACCACCACTATCGCCACCACCCCCACCACCACTATCGCCACCACCCCCAGCAACAACAACAACAACCGCCATTCGCCACTAAGTGGCGGTGACGTCACCACGACGCTTGTGCCAGGCTATGTGCACCCTGAGGCCACGTGAAGTGTCGAACGCCCGCTGGCAGGAGGTCACGGGGCAGACCCAGGTGCCACGGGTCGACTGACTAAGATGACTGGCTGATGCACCACCTGTGCCCCCTACTGTGTCAACCTGCTGTGCTTTAGCCACCCGGCGCTCCGCTCATTGTGCTGAGCGTCGCTCCTCCGCCCTCCGTTGTTGTTGGAGGGCGACTACCTCCAACTGCCCAGTAGCATCCTTCACGAGCCTCCTCCACAGAGGCCGATCTTGACACCGCTGGTACCAGTCATCGGCAAGTCCACTCAGCTCCAGGTCCTCCTGTACCACATCACTCCATCTCTTCTCTAGCCCGTGCCGCGCCCACTTAGCCCCCTCAATCCGGCCGAACAAAAGCTGTTTCGGCATGCGGTGGCTGGGCATGCGGGCTACATGACCCAGCCATCGCAGCCTTGCCCGCCGGAGGAGCTCACCGATGGGACCTTGCCCAGATCTTTCAAGGATTTGTGAGCTCCTCACACAATCCAGTCTGGTTAAACCCAGGATGGATCGTAGGCAGGCCAGCCTAAATGTTTCTAACCAGCGAAGATGTTCCATTAGGGGGGTCCACGTTTCGCAAGCGTAGAGAAGTGAAGGAATGACCGTGGCCAAGAAGACCTGAAGCTTAGTGCGGAGCGACAGACCAGGTAGCTTCCACACAGCGTTACGCAACCGATGAAAAGATATTGCCGCTCGACTGATTCGGAGTGAGACCTCTGCTGTTAAACTGGAGCCAGTCATAAGCACACTGCCCAGGTATGGGAAACTCTCCACTCTCTCCACAACTGCCCCATCACCGATTGGGAGTTGTGGGGGTGGAGTGTCCGATGGTACAAAATACCCAGGCAGGTGCTTAGTTTTGGTGGGGCTGATGGTAAGGCCCCATCTCTTAGTTGCATGCTCCAGTCTCAGCAGCAGCGTCTCCAACTCCTCCTCTGAATGAGCAGCTATTACCAAATCATCGGCATACATAACATGGTTGAGCAATAGGGAGCCATCCCTTGACCGCACCCGGGCATCGATCAGCCTCCCATTATATCTGTACCATATGGAGATTCCCCCGGTACAGCTATTGAAGTCTTCACGAACTACGTGGTCAAAATAGATGTTAAATAATGTGGGAGCCAGAGGACATCCCTGTCGCACCCCAAGGTGTACAGGGAATGGCTCTGACTCCCGGCCACGTAGTTTTACCCGGGCCCGCTCACCATCATGAAGGTCCTTAATGATCGTGAGCAGAGGGTCAGGTACTCCAAAAGCACGAAGAACGACCCAGAGCCCAGGCCTACTGATGGTATCATAGGCCTTGACCAGGTCAATAAAGCAGAGATGTAGGTCTTGTTGGAATTCCCTACACCTCTGCTGTAGCAGACGGACAGAAAATATGGCATCTGTGCAGGACCGCCCTTTCCTGAAACCGCATTGGGGCTCCGCAAGCCTCTCCTCAGCGTGCCTGGCAAGGCGATGCTGAATAATCCTTGCCAGGACCTTTCCCGGCACACTGAGGAGTGAGATGCCCCTGTAGTTGCTACAGTCTGTGCGGTCCCCCTTCTTAAAAAGGGGGACCACCAGGGCATCCTTCCAATCCTGCGGAACCCGTCCAGTGGTCCCGACTGTTGTTATGATGTCATATAGGGCAGTCTGTGCACAAACGCCACCCTCCCTCAGCATTTCGCTTGGGAGATCATCTCTGCCCGCTGCCTTTCCTGGTCTCAGACTCCGGATCGCCTTCAGTACTTGCTCAACAGATGGCACCTCAGCCAGCCACTCACAGGAGGTGACTTCTTCCAATATTTGAGGCACCGCAGCCTCAGCAGGGTCATCCTCACTTTGTGCCACGATGTTTTCCTGGCTGAGGGATTTTCCCTCCCCCAGGACCTCACAGAAATGCTCAGCAAATCTGCAAACCTGTTCCTGGGGCAAAACAACCCCCTACCTCCTCGCGGTGCCGGACGGGCAACTCTGTCGTGGACAGTGCTGTGGGGGGAGATCCAATTTTAATTGGCTCCTCCCCTCATGGCATATGTGTCCACCACAGGGGCTAAACGGGGGCTCTGGACGGGTGTGAGGGGCTGGTAACCCCTCCACCTTCAATTAATTACCACGAAACCACGAGTTAAACCACCCCCAGCACCACCACTATCACCACCACTATCACCACCACCCCCAGCACCACCACTATCGCCACCACCCCCACTCCGGGGCCACGTGAAGTGTCGAAGGGCACGGGGAGGTCACGGGGAGGTCACGAGGAGGTCACGGGACAGAGCCTGCTGCGGGTGGTGCCACGGGTTGGCCGGGACGACTCGCAGGTGCGTCAGCTGTGCCCCCCCCCCCCCTCACTGCGCCAACTCGCTGCGTTTCATCCGCCCGGCGCTCCGCTCGTTGTCGTGAGCGTCGCCCCACGCACCCTTCACCACCCTCACCGCCCCACGTGATCCCCCACCCCCCCCCGCCTCCTCGCCCCGCATCACCGGCCCTCACCGTGCTGAACGTCGGCTTCAACGTCCGTGCTGAGCTCCTCCTTGTGGCGGCGCTCGACTGCCATCAACCGCACCCTCCCGCTCTCCCCTCCCCGTCTCTTCCCTCCGTGCGTCCCCTCCTCCTCCTCCTCCTGCTGCTCCTCCTCCGCTCCTCCACCTCCACCGCCTCCACCACCTCCTCCACCGCCTCCTCCTCCCGCTGCAGCCTCCAAAGCGAACCGCTCCGCCCTCGCCGCCAACTTCCTGCCACCGGCGGCGGCGGCGGCGGCGGCGGCCTTTGGCGGGGAAGTGGGCGGCGGCGGCAGGAGGAGCGGCGGCAGCTGCTGCCGCGGCAGCCTCTCGCCCACCTCCTCCTCCTCCTCCTCCTCTTCCTGCTGCTCCTCCTCGTCGTCGTCGTCGTCGCCGTCGTCGTCGCCGTCGTCGCCGCCGCCCTTGGCGACCGAGTCGATGGTGAGGTCCACGATGGAGTCGCGGGCCGCGGCGCGACGGTCGCCGGCGTGCCCGCCTCCCGCCGGACGAACCCCGTCCTGGCCGAGCCGCTGGCGTCTCTTCCGGCGCCGGCGCCGCGCCGCGCCGGGCCTCCCGCCGGCGCCGCCGGGGGCGGCCGCGGGAGCGCCCGCGGCGGGCCGGGGCGGCGGCGCGGGCGACGGACGCGGGGGGGGAGGAGGAGGAGGAGGAGGCCTCCCGTCGGGGGCGTCGGTGGACAAGCGGTCGGAGCACATCTGGGCAGGGTGGGGGAGAGCGTGGGGAGAGCGAGGGGAGAGTGTGGGGAGAGCGATGGGAGAGTGATGGGAGAGTGAGGGGAGAGCGTGGGGAGAGAGCGATGGGAGAGAGCGAGGGGAGAGCGAGGGGAGAGCGAGGGGAGAGCGTGGGGAGAGCGAGGGGAGAGCGAGGGGAGAGCGATGGGAGAGCGAGGGGAGAGCGATGGGAGAGCGTGGGGAGAGCGTGGGGAGAGCGTGGGGAGAGAGCGATGGGAGAGAGCGTGGGGAGAGCGAGGGGAGAGTGATGGGAGAGTGAGGGGAGAGCGTGGGGAGAGAGCGATGGGAGAGAGCGAGGGGAGAGCGAGGGGAGAGCGAGGGGAGAGCGTGGGGAGAGCGAGGGGAGAGCGAGGGGAGAGCAATGGGAGAGCGAGGGGAGAGCGATGGGAGAGCGTGGGGAGAGCGTGGGGAGAGCGTGGGGAGAGAGCGATGGGAGAGGGCGTTGCTGTTTAGGCGAGCGTTCCCCAACGGCGAAGGGGTGTCGTGCAAACACATTCAGCGAGGACCTGCCGTACACCGCACCTACGGTTAGCGCCGTCGGCTAAGCACGGTGGCGAAAGAAGTTCAACGTACACACACGTACACACGTACGTACACACGTATGTACACACACGTACACACATGTACACACACGCACACACGTACACAGGCACACACGAACGCAGAGAGGAGGGAGGGAGGTGAGGGGAAGGAGGGAGGGAGGAGGGGGCGGGAGGGAGGGGAGGGAGAGAGGGAGTGGTGGGAGGAGGGCGAGGGAGGGAGGAGGGGGTGGGAGGGAGGAGGAGGGAGGAGGAGGGGGAGGGAGAGAGGGAGGAGGGGGTGGGAGGGAGGGAGGAGGAGGGAGGGAGGGAGGAGGGAGTGGGAGGGAGGGAGGAGGGAGTGGGAGGGAGGGAGGAGGGGGTGGGAGGGAGGGAGGAGGGAGGAGGGGGAGGGAGGGAGGGAGGAGGGAGTGGGAGGGAGGAGGGGGTGGGAGGGAGGGAGGAGGAGGGGGTGGGAGGGAGGGAGGAGGAGGGGGAGGGAGGAGGGGGTGGGAGGGAGGAGGGAGGAGGGGGTGGGAGGAGGGAGGAGGGGGTGGGAGGGAGGAGGGAGGAGGGGGTGGGGAGGAGGGGGAGGGAGTAGGGGGTGGGAGGGAGGGAGGGGGCGGGAGGGGGGGTTGGGTCTGTACCTCGGCGAGCTGAAAGAGGGCGGAGATCCCGCGCTCCTCCGCTGCAGCGGAGCGACGCGATTGGTGGGTCTGCGTCGATGGGACCTGCGCGGGAGCCAACGGCGGGAGGGGGGGGGAGGGTCCAGATCGTGAAACGGGACGCCGAGAAGAGGCGGTCACAGGCACGGGCGGCCGGTGATTCAAACGGACCGGCACAGAGAGCGCTCGGCACAAAACGCTGAGCGCAGAGGCACACAGCTCCCAGATACGGGCAGAGCACCACCGCCAACGCCGCCGCCGCCGCCGCCATCACCAACAACCGCCGTTCGCCACCGGGCGGCGGCGGCGGCGGCGGCGACGTCACCACGGCGCCAGTGCCGGGCCAGGTGCACGTCGAGGCCACGCGAGGCGTCGAACGCCCCCGCCGGCAGGAGGTCACGGGGCAGGCCCAGCAGGTGCCACGGGTCGGCTGACCGAGATGACTGCCGCCACCACCAGCGGGAGTGCTTCTCACCTCGGAGGGAGAGCCTTTGAGCGCTTTCTCTCCGGCCAGCAGCAGCAGACTCAGCCCTCCCGAGTGCGCCAACGCGTCTGGCACAGAGAGAGAGCCACCGCACCAGTCACTACCATGACAATAGCACCATAATTCACCATCACCACCAACATAATTCACCACCACTACCAACATAATTCACCACCACCATTCACCACAACTGCCACCACCATTCACCACCACTACCACCACCATTCACCACCACTACCACCACCATTCACCACCACTACCACCATCATTCACCACCACTACCACCACCATTCACCACCACTACCACCACCATTCACCACCATTCAACACCACTACCACCACCATTCACCACCACTACCACCATCATTCACCACCACTACCAACATAATTCACCACCAACATTCACCACAACTGCCACCACCATTCACCACCACTACCACCACCATTCACCACAACTACCACCACCATTCACCACCACTACCACCACCATTCACCACCACTACCACCACCATTCAACACCACTACCACCATCATTCACCACCATTCAACACCACTACCACCACCATTCACCACCACTACCACCATCATTCACCACCATTCAACACCACTACCACCATCATTCACCACCACTACCACCATAATTCACCACTCAACACCACTACCACCACCATTCAACACCACTACCACCATAATTCACTACCACTACTACCATAATTCACTACCATTCAACACCACTACCACCATCAATCACCACCACTACCACCATAATTAACCACCACTACCACCATAATTCACCATCATTCAACACCACTACCACCATCATTCAACACCACTACCACCATAATTTACTACCATTCAACACCACTACCACCACCATTCACCACCACTACCACCATCATTCACCACCACTACCAACATAATTCACGACCACTACCACCATCATTCACCACCATTCAACACCACTACCACCATCATTCACCACCACTACCACCATAATTCACCACCATTCAACACCACTACCACCACCATTCAACACCACTACCACCATAATTCACCACCATTCAACACCACCACCACCACCACCATTCACCACCATTCACCACCACTACCACCACCATTCACCACCACTACCACCACCATTCACCACAACTACCACCACCATTCACCACCACTACCACCATCATTCACCACCATTCACCACAACTACCACCACCATTCACCACAACTACCACCATCATTCACCACCACTACCACCACCATCATTCACCACCACTATCACCACCACCACCACCACCATTCACCACCACCACTGACCACCATTCACTACCAGTCACCATCATTCACCACCACTACCACCAACATTCACCACCACTACCACCACCATTCACCACCACCACCACTCACTACCATTCACCATCACTCACCACCATTCACCAGCACTCACCACAACAACAACAACAGCGGTGGCGACGGCGGGGTGGTGGCGGTGGGAAAAGATTTCCGCGTCGCCCCGTGGGCGAGGCCCCCAGGCCTACAGGATGTGGCCGGACCCCGCGTCGTTTAGAACCTCCAACACCTGGAACTCACCTCGCGCGGGCGAGTGCGGGCGTGGGGTCTGGTGGAAATCATTTGTTGTTGTTGTGGCCCTCGTTAAGTCTGCGGGTTCCCCCCACCACCTGGCGACCTCCTGTGACTGCCGCCACTACCGACGGGCGCTGAACCACGGTCGTTCGCACACCACCATTCACCACCACTACCACCACCATTCACCACAACTACCACCACCATTCACCACCACTACCACCACCATTCAACACCACTACCACCATCATTCGCCACAACTACCACCATCATTCACCACCACTACCACCATCATTCACCACCACTACCACCACCATTCACCACCACTACCACCACCATTCACCACCACTACCACCATCATTCACCACCACTACCACCACCATTCACCACCACTACCACCATCATTCACCACCACTACCACCATCATTCAACACCACTACCACCATCATTCACCACCACTACCACCACCATTCACCACCACTACCACCATCATTCACCACCACTACCACCATCATTCACCACCACTACCACCACCATTCACCACCACTACCACCACCATTCACCACCACTACCACCATCATTCACCACCACTACCACCATCATTCACCACCACTACCACCACCATTCACCACCACTACCACCACCATTCACCACCACTACCACCATCATTCACCACAACTACCACCACCATTCAACACCACCACCATTCACCACAACTACCACCACCATTCACCACCACTACCACCACCATCCACCACCACTACCACCATCATTCACCACCACTACCACCATCATTCACCACCACTACCACCATCATTCACCACCACTACCACCATCATTCACCACCACTACCACCATCATTCACCACCACTACCACCACCATTCACCACCATTCAACACCACTACCACCACCATTCAACACCACTACCACCATAATTCACTACCACTACCAACATAATTCACCACCATTCAACACCACTACCACCACCATTCACCACCATTCACCACCACCATTCAACACCACTACCACCACCATTCACCACCATTCACCACCACTACCACCACCACTACCACCATCATTCACCACCACTACCACCATCATTCACCACCATTCAACACCACTACCACCACCATTC